TGTTGGTAAAGTTATAACAGTCGTGCGCCTTATTTTTTTGTACTTCGGCCTAGAGACCGTTTTAAAAGCACACTGTCTCGTTCGCTCCGAAACGTTCGACGCATGTATGGTACCACGGAGTTTCAGGTCCGGTAACGTGTAGCAATCTGCGTTTCTATTTCCCAAAAATCTTTTTGGACGTTGAATCCGTTTATGACTTTATTGTTTTAGACGTCTCTCCACTGTCTCTCTCTTTCGCTTTTCATTTTCCTACAACAATGTCCAACTATCTCACTTGCGCGAAAACCTTGGTGAAAGGTCTATTTTCTAGGGCAAACAGGGCTTGTTCATAGGTAAAAATATGAATAAGTCTTGCAGTTCATTTTTAATACATTCTTCGATAACGAATATTCCTTAAAAGTCATCATCAAGTATGACAGAACGAGGGGCAGTGTGGTGATCCTAGCTTACGTGATGACGCAAACCTCGGGGCGACAAGTTACAGTTTCCGGACAACTTTGATAAGTTAAGCTTCCCTGGTGACGCCAACAAAGCGCCTACGCGTTACAATCTCTGAACTACGAACCATAGGCTGATGGTACCGACCAGTCAGAAGCCGTGCGGCCCAAACAGAAGTTGTACGACGTAGAAAATACGAGCACGTGATTGGTAGATGCCTGGATGACTAATGAACTTAATCATATTATTTAAACCGCATGGTTTCTTTCGATAAATGAACTGCTACTCCTGTGGCCTTTTCCTTGTCTCTTGTCTACGTGGTATACTGTCGTGCAAGTACCAGTGTAATTCAGTGCTTATGAGGCGTCCGTGATTTCTGATACGTGATTCGTAATTCGTGATCGGTGCGTACTTCAATCATCACAGGCAATCGGTGCGCATTAAGCAAAGCACCCTCATCAGATTGCCTTCAAACGGAGTGATCGAAGTAATCTTATTGAAAAGATTGCATCGATTCAAGCTGGCATTTCGGATAGTAAGCCATCTGAGAATCGATCAGAATTTAAGGTGGACGTGATCTATATACCGTCGCCCATTCGCCCCCCCCCCATGCCTATATTTTAGTTAATGGGAATTTTTATTCAATTGTCTCGGTTACAAAACTCATTTTATTCTATTTTCTCTCATATAAAATTATCATTATGCTACTGCAGCTGTATTATAAATGTCATATATAGGAGATTTCAATCTATGATTTTGAAACTATTTCTAACTGTTATAGCTTTCGGAAAATGTTAGAATAAATTAAAGGTGCTGCATGCGTCGAGTATGTGCAAAACTACTAGCTAATTCTGAAACAAAGATGGTGTGAATGCGACCATTTGGTGCATGTTATTTATTGAAGATAAAAATTTACAGTCAACATTCAGGAAGGAGAACCGCGGCCATACAAAGGCTGCCAGGGAAGACGGGTAGAGGTGGAGTGTATCAAACCCGGGACTTACGGGTCAAAAGTTGGTGACAACCGCCTGACCACTACTGTCAAACGAACGTACGAATTTGTCATCCGGTACTGTGGTTTCTAATTGCATAGGTAAATTCGTTCGGGAACGTTTTTCGCTAAGGTTCAATAGCCATCGAATATCTTATTGAAAATATTTTGTAATAGATATATATAGATATATATATATATAATTTTTATCTCTGTTGCGTAATTTTTTTGCCGACTATTGGTTTTCTTACCATACTAATCATGAGTAGCTACTTTATAATCCCGATTATCGTTGAGAGGAATTGAAGTTTTTTAGGCCTCAGTAATTCGGTATCACAAACCAGGCCTATATAAACAACTGTTATTTGTGACTATTCTGTTCTGCTTTGCATCTAGTGTGGTTAAGATCGTGATCATGATTCATGCTTGTGTTTTGCACCCTTCCCTTCTACCTGACCCGAGTACGACAGGTTGCCCCTCATCCTCACTGTTTTTTGAAGCATTATCAGTGTGTTCGTTGAAGTTTGTACATGGAAGAGGAAATAGCATGAAATATTTCAATTCAAACTGCTCTCTGATGATAGTTGTTCGCACTTAGCTGGAATCTATGAAGATAACCGGAATGATAAAATAATTAAAATGTTCGGAAACATTTTGATAACCATTTGAATTTTCTCGTGAAACCCAAGTGGATCGACAAAAAAGAAAAACAGCCAAGGAAGTCAAATCGGATCCGGTTAGGCCAAATCGTCACACACACACACAAATGAGGCCTGTCTGCATT